ACCAACCATCTACCATCATTACACTTCAGCCTTGTTACTTTGTTCCTCATCCTTCTCTGTATGGTAATTGAACAAAAGAATCTTGTGTTTCTGTCCCCGTCACCAATACTTACCCTCAGCTTCTTGTTTTTTTTTTTTGTTCATTCAAAGTACCCTTATTACAACTTTCCAGTTTCTTTGTCAGCAATTCGACCTGTTTCTTAGCATTTGGAAAGGTTTCCCTACTCCATTTGATCAAACTTCTTATATATTCATCAAGCTTACTAATCAACTCTTCTACTTTACTTTCAAACACACTTGCACTTCTCCATCCTCTTCTAACAACATTCAAAAAATCAACATGTTCAGCCCGATAAGCCTCAAATATAAAGATTCTTAATACCTTCGCATGCCCAAACTCACAATCCACAAGTAGCAAGTGATGGTCAGATCCAACCGGTTCCATATGAACAGCAGTAGCATTTACAAAATCTTCTCTAAACTCAACATTAGCTACTACCTAATCCAATCTTTCCTTCATATGTGATGCCCCTAGCCTTTTATTACTCCAAGTATACTTAGCTCCCTGGAAGCCAAGGTCTAATAATTGACAGTCAGCTAGCATACATTGGAAATTGATAGCCCTACCAATATCGACAGGCAAATTTCCTCACTTCTCATCATCAAAGATCACATCATTAAAATCTCCAAAACAGAGCCATAATCCCCTTATACCACCTACCAACCTTCTCATCTCATTCCAGACTAACATCTTCTCTTCATTTATTGAAGCACCATAAATAAAGGTGACATACTTAGGTACTTTAAGAAAATTAGAATCCATAGTCACATGGATTAGGTTTCTTGAGCTGAACCAGACATTAATCACAACCTCATGGCTCCACCACAGAGCCAAACCACCTCCTCTACCTCTCGGATCAACATAAAACTCTTCTTACATCTGACATTGACCTTGAATTCTTTTCAACTTATCACTTTTCATCCTTGTTTCCATTAGGAAGATCACAAGGGGCTTGTTCTTAAAACACTCCTCCCTCAACTTCTTAACTGTCAAGGCTCTTCCTAAACCTTGACAGTTCCAACCTATGAACTTCATGGCTCCTTAGTGGCTGTTTGAGGCCAGCCACCAAGACCATTTTCCAGCAAAGCACTTTGACTTACCACTGAGAAAACATCCTCAATGGACACATCTCTTCCCCCAACTCTTCTCTAGACTTCCCCACCTTCCTTCCCAACATTCCCCTCCTTCTCATATGCTTCTTGATCCTTTGCACACTCTTATGTCCTCCTCTTTTTTCAAGTGATTTGCTTTTGTTTATAACAACAATATTTGGTTCTTCAACAGATAACTTCCTTCTCTTAACATCCAACCTCTCCTCTTCATCTTCCAAGTTCCTCTTTAGTTTTACTTTCCTTAGTCCAATTGTAACCTCACTCATAGGTGAATGCGCCCCATAAACTACTATGGCCTTTGAGAAATTCTCCTTATTTTTACTATTATTCAGTTTAGGATCTTCTTTCTTCAAATCATGACTCTTGTCCTTATCATGATTTGTTGAATTATTCTGCTTTCTCTCAACAGACGCCAACTTCTCATCCTCACTTTTACCACTACTCTCCCCAGCCGATACAGAGTTCTTCTGTAATTTGAGAATAGGAGTTCTGTTCTCTTTATTATCATCAATCATCAGATTACTCTTGCCTTTTCCCTCCTTAGTCTCACCTATTTTTAATAACTTCTCATTTTTTGATTCCTTCCTCCTTTCCTTCACTACAAACTCCTCCCAGCCATCTCTACAACTGTCAATAATACCATCAATATTTCTGGTAGCTTGAACTCCTAACCAACCTCCATAGCCACTATCGTCTACATCGTCATCCTCCTCTACACACTTACAGCTTCTCTGTTCATGACCAATTTTGCCACATTTGTAGCAATAATTCTGCAACCTCTCATATCTCAATTTAATCTAGACTGGATCCTTGTTCGGCCTGGGAGTCCACATACCAATTATTAATAACAAATGTATATTGACTTTCCTAAACTACCATTTTTAATCATGGATATTGGAGTTACTTCTAACGTATATAATCAATAGAAATACTTTGAGAAAGAATTATAAATTTGAAAAACAAAAACGATTAAGATCTTATATTTGGAATCAAATTCAACCTCTAACTAACTTTTATATTAAAGACTAAAATTAGTATGTCCATAATATAAAATGTTTCTAACTAATTCACATGTACTAATAAAAATAATTAAAAGCATTAAGTTTGTCATGAAGTTCATTGATTTTGAACATAACTTTATTAACCATATTAAATTCTACCATCATATTAATTTTTAACTCTCAATACTTTTATTAAATATGGGCATACATGAAAAAAAATTTAATGCTTAATAAAACTATCAAAATATCTTATAAAATGAACCAAAAATACTTTCTAAAAAACCTATAAAACTTCTTATAGTATATAGACAGGAGGAAGTATAAGACACGGTGGGCGTCTTTATAATAAAAAGCGAAGGAAAAAATTACTGACTAAGATATATTTTGATTTAGCTTATTTTGAGTAATTTTATCCTCCGTTAAATATATAAAAAGACTTTTATCTTTTAAGACAAAATAATTTTTGGGGCTAACGCCAAATGCCCCATTAGTATCGTACGGTTTAGGGACAATTACATTAACCAACAGGAAATCATTTTTTCTAGATACCGAAGACGAAGAAGTACAGTACAACTCAGAAGACAGAATGTTGAAGTGGAATTATGAATTAAATTCAGAAACTATGTGCAGATGATTTTGGAACGGAGAAAGTTGGTAAGTGGGTCCTAACTCTAAAGATGATGATGGAGTTGCTTTCCGTCACTAATTAAGGTACCTTGCCTTTTCAAATCAATCTTTGAGTCGCTTTCAGATTTGCTCTCCACTCCCTAAAACACCTACAAATCCGTTACGCCTTCATCTTCCCCAAAATTACATGCAATGCTTTCCATTTTGCAAATCCTATCACAAAAATAACCTTCAGGACTCAATACCGTCCATATATCAATATATATATAATTTAATAATTTGATATTATTTTTCAGTTATGTCAGTGCTAAGTGCATTATGAATAAGAGTACAGTAATAAAAATATTAGAAAATAACATCAAAATGTCATATGTATGATAAAAAGATAAGATTAAGGTGTTAAATATAATTAAAAGATAACATCAAGACGTTAGATGCTATTTTACCCTATATTATTTATCACTATGTAATACCTTCGATGCTATATACCCTATGATAGTTATCCTATATGCATTGCACTAAAAACTAAATCTTATATTTAGTGCAAGAGGTAATATAATCATAAACAATATAACCATATCATGTACTCCTCTTATCCTTTTATAAGATAGAGAAAGAAGCAATTGTTTAGTCCTAGTTATAAAGCAGAGAGAGAAAATTTTTATAGAAATGTAAAATTTTATCTTTTATTTAATATTGTGTTGATTTTGTTCTAATAGGGTATAATGCATTTGAAGTTGTTAAATTTTAAATGAGAATTAATAAAATTTAAATTTTTTTAATCTATACAAAATATATTAAAAATAATTTATAAATAAAACGCAGGGTGTGGTCAAGCCAATCTGTCCAGGGTTATAATTGTTTTTTGGGAGAATTAGAATAAATGACCTGTAGAGAAAAATATTTAGTAAAAAGGATCGTAAAAATTAGAATTATTTTAAAGGACCATATATTAAAATATAATTTTAGAAAGACTAAATTGTTCTTAACTAATCCTTCTATCTTCTCTCTTATGACATCTCAGTTATTTGATAGTTGATAAGTTCTCTTTTTTTTACGTTGGCCTGCACTCATTCCACAGAGAATTAGAAAACCCTTGGAACTCACCAATAATGATAAAGGCTTCTATGCATTTTGTGACAAACTTTTATCATCTACTAGTGATTGCTTTCTGATATCTTTGATGCAAGTTTGTTTGTTTTACCCCATTAATATTGTTTTGGCCTGTTAAGAAATAAGCAATAAGAATTAGTTTTTCTTTCTGTTTCTACAATTACAAGTCATGTGTATATTTATAATTAATTTCATAGTCTGAACTTAGGATCTTTGCATTTTCTGTGGACATTGATTAATGTATATAAGTTTTAGAAATCAATAGGTGATGGATAATTTGAAAGCAAAGTCTATGATGGACTTCGAATTACAAGTGACAAACGGGTTCAAATGTTACCTTTTGAAATGATTCTAAATGTCTTATTAATTTTCTTCGAATGTATAAATCATCGAATGAAAACAAAAACAGAAAAATTGCTGACAGAATCAGAGAAATAATAAAGAAGGGGATAGAGGTAATTTGGTATTCAAAATATATATTTTAACATTTAAAATAATTTTAATTATGATCTTTTTTAATAAATATTTTTCTCCATAGGTCCTTTGTTCTAATTCTCCCTTATTTTTTCCGAAGTCCAATACTGTAAATTACACTTTTCAAGGTTATGGAATGTAATTTTGCTTGTGGGAATCTAGAAATATCGGCCTTCCCACAAGCTCTGCTTCCTACACATATAATAATAATAATATAGTTTCCTGTGTTCATGTGTTCATGGACAATGACTTCACAGTCAAAATGCTCCCAAAATTGAAGCACCAAAATAGTCATTAAAAAACAACAACCATCCTAGAAAGCAGTAAAACCAAAAACAAAAAAAAGGAAAAGAAAGGAAACACAGTAATCATTCATTCCCACGCTCTTCCATTTCTGGAATTGAATATTTTGATGATAACGTCAGCCTTTTTACCATTCCCCAAACCCTATGCAAAACGGAACAACTCATCATCCTTTTGCTTTATCCTTTTCCCTCGTTTCAAAAATGTCTCTTAACCATAAATTAGCGATTCAATCAATCAACTTCAAACACAATATCCTCTCATGATGATCCAGGACTATGAAACATCATCTGATTAGCACCTCATTCATGCACTGTAATGTAATGGTTACTTAAAACTTGAATCTATAGTGAATTCAGGGTGGCACAGAGGCAACATAGTGATCCGACAGTGATGAAATGGAAGAAACATGGTTCATGGTCAAACACAGGTCGAACAAAAGTTGACTGAAAACACACACACACACAAGCATACAACATCAAACCGGGGATTAGGAAGCCTGGAAAATTTGCCCCAGCTTCTCTTCTTTCCCACGGCATAAACACGCCATTGAATCAAGACTGACTGAAAACCGAATCCAACTCCTTTAATTTCTGATGCTTCTTCAATCTTAATTCCCGCTGTAGCTGAAAATTTCGTTCTTAGTTCTCTGTAAAATCATCTTGGATGCGATTGTGAATCCTGGGGAAGAGAAAACAGAGTGAGAATTGCATTGTGAGAGTAAAAAGTGTAAAACAGAGGGATAGAATACAGGAATTTGAGGGTGGCACCTGAAAGGAGAGGGAAGTTCGGAAATCTGATGTGTTCAACAGCGAGAATCAGAGGAAGCAGAGGACGGCTTGTCAGAAACGCCGTCGTACTCCTCTTCACCCTGGATTCGTGCTGGAATGTGAAAACCGGAGAAGATATCAGAATCAAATCCGATGCCGCCGGAGATAGAAGATTGATGATGAATTGTCGGTGGTAGATAGTGGCTGTGGTCAGGCGTGGAGGCGGTTGACGAGTCTATCCAAGCACGAATCAAAGGAGTGTTACTGGACTGAAGGGGACCCCTCTGAGAAAGATACTGGCTCCGACTGAACAGTGGCTGCAGCGGAGTCTGCATCGGCGACTGCGGGTTGAAGATAAGTCCTCCGTCTCCGCCATGGCCACTATTACCAGTATCAGTAGCACCACCATTCCAAGCTACCATTCTACTCAATCGATCATGCTCCACTGGGAATGAAGCCCCATCGAACCCCACTGGGGTCGTCGCAGAGAACAATTGCTCACCCTGGTGGTGGTGGTGGGTCTGAGCTTGAGCCTGGTGAAGCAGAATCGGGTCCTGCAACGACTGGAGCGAGAGCCGTAGATCTTGGTTCTGGCAGGCGCTACTAGTTAGCGAATGCAAATCTGGTGAGTAATTCTGAAACTGAATCGACGAAGAATCCGTCTCCGGCGCTGACTCCCCACTGGGGAAGAAAGACTTCATAGAGTCAGCAATGTCAGTGTCAAATGTCGGCGGTAGAAAATCCAACCCGCCACGGTCAGGGTTTTCATCGAATTGCTCCATAATCCTCCCGCCATTATCTGCGGCCGAACCTGTTCTCCGGCCAAAAGAATCCATAGCATCGACCGCGGAACGGTCAACTCCAATGAGGTTCTCGTCCTCGTTCACCTGCTGATTCTGGTGTCGATCCTTCTCCTGCTGAGCATTTTGATTTGTTGTGTGGGGGTTCCACGCAGGAAGCTTGGCAAGCTCATCTATGGCGGCTTTGGCATTCTTAATGAGCCAATCGACGGCTTTGCTGGGGCGGTCGTAGCCAAGGCGATCTTGGACGTCGTAGAATTGAATGGCGGTATGAGCGGAGAGACGAACTCGCCGATCTCTGGGTCCCTTAGCGGTACACACCTTACTGTGCCGGTCTTTGCGTCCGGTGGAGCGAACAATGTGGCCGCCTTGAACCTCCACGATCTCTCCCCCTCCACCCCTCACAGCCAATCTGGACGACGTCGTTGCCGGCGGTCGCTGGTGACGATTGGCACTCTCTCCCATCTTTGCTGCATATTCAACGGTAAAAGCGGAAGACGGAGGCGAAGGAGGAAGGAGATAAGACCGCTTCTTGGGAGGATGAAGAGATTTAAGCTCTGTATCTAAGTCTGCGAAAGAGTGGTTTTGTTGCAGATACTGAAGCTGGAAATGCAGAGCTGGGTCTTTGCCGGATGGAGATATTGATGAATCCTGATCCTCTTCGTCTTCCCCACCCGCTTCTTCTTCCCCCTCTACATGCCTGAAATTCAGAACTTGGCTCTGATGAAGGTAATGGTTGAGATGGTAACAATGGTGACGATCGTCGCTTAGAGGATCCAGACTCAAAGTCTTGTAATATTCCTCTTCCAGCTTTTCAAAACTCGGTACAGGATTTTGATCTTATTGTTGATGATGACGACGATGACGAATGTTCTTCACAGGATTTTGCTGAGGATAGCGAAAGAACCTGCCATATATTCAATATTACCAGTGTTTCCATGGAAAGAGAGAAACAAGAAAAAGCAAAACCCAGAAACCCAAAACTCTCTTTTCGCCCTAACCCATGTCCTTCACTTCTCTCTCTCTCTATCGAAGCCGCTCTCGTGGCTTTAGGCAACTGAGCTTCTGCTTTATGTACTGCTGCGATTCACTGACCCGCCTGCAAAACAATTTTTAAAAAAAATAAAAAAGGCAATACAGTTGGGTCGGTTAATGGATTACAACTTAATAGATTAATTTGAATAAATTAAAAAAATTAATTATATTATTTATTTATAATAAATAGGTATTATTTTTTAAAAAATATTTTTATTAATCAAATATATTAGCTAGAGCTGTTATGATTACAATGATTACTTTAGAAAAAAAAGTATGAGAGACAAAGTAAATCAGGATCTTATATTTAAAATTAAAATAAAAATCAAACGACCTCTTATATTAAGGATCAAACGTAATATTATTTTAAATTTAAAGGACAGAAATTAACATTTAACAATGATATCACACTTTGATTACCCAGCAATTGGTTATAAATAATATACTACTTGTATTTAAATTAAGCTACTTATATTTGTTATGTTAAATTTTTTAATCATATGCGGTGCTAATATTCCAAAAATATGACATATGGTTGGTTACGCATGATTGAAAAAAATTAACATTAAGTAAATTAAAGTTTTATATTTAGAATAAAATTATATTTTTAAAATAGTACTGACATTAAGGAGGTGTTTGGAAGCATCCAAAAGTATTTCTTGGAAGTACTTTTTTAATAAAACGAGGTAACTTTCTCTACATATTTACTTTGTATAACGTAAAAACACTTTTAAATTTATGATTTTGATTCTGTCTAAATACTTTCTAAGGAGAAGAGGTATTAACTCCAAACCTAATTATAAAATTTTGATTATAATTTATAAATAAAACCTTATAATTAAAATAAGGCAGAAAAAACATATGTTTGATTGGGATGATGGTGACGCCGACAGCGCCGGGTCAGAGCGGGAGGGTAAAAGTGAGAGACTATTAATTTGCAATTGTGACTTTACACAGAAGAGTACACACTATACAACAGGGAAGGTTTGTTTGGTACAATAAATAAAATAAAATAAATAATAAAATATCAACTCACTTTAGCTCAGGTGATAGTGTGGGCTTTGGCCATGAATAAGGTGGTTTTAATTTAAACAATTAGTGTGCGATTAGTATACCCAAAAAAGGATTAGTGTGTGATTAGAAACTATAAAATTAATAAAAAATAATTTCATCGATACCAAATGTCTTTTATTTTTAGAAAAATGGTTAAGGATATAACTCTTTTTCAATTACATGTAACATATGTTCATTTATGTGTAGTACTCCTCCGGTCCTTAATAAGACCCATTTAACTAATTTGATTAGATTAAGGAAGTTAGGTAAATTAGTTAATTATAAGAAATGTGACACGTTTTTCCTAAAATACTATAATCATCTTTTTTAATACCTCATTTTTTTCTACTGATTATGTTGAAGGAGTATCCATAAGGGTATTTTAGAGAAAATTGATAAATATGAGAAATGGGTCTTATATTAGGACCAAAACTAACTCACCATTGGGTCATATTAAGGACGGAGGAGTATATTTTGTTTTGCATGTAATTAAAAATAGGCTCCACAAAATTAAGAAGAGTTTGCACCCGCTAAAATAAGCATCATTTGAGTTCTCAAACTAACTTAGGATATTTTTTGGTAATAAATTTTGTAGTTTTAATTTTTCAGCAATTTTTTTCTTTATTTTTTATGTTGAAAATAGTAGTAATACCAGCAGCAGCAGAGTAACCAGTAATAACAACCGAGCAATATGAACCAATTAGTAAATTATTATTTTTCTTTTCTGTTTTTTTTGGCGCCAATTACAATAAGCAACAATCTTGATTGCATCCAAAGGAAAGAGAGAAGAATTGCATATTAAGTGTTGGCAAAAATGGAATTTCATATTTCAGATTTTTATAGATTTAAAAATTTAATATAAATATCTAAAAATTAAGATAGTTTTCCGATACCCTTCAATAATTCACTCTCCTGAAAAGCAAACATAATTTGATCCAGATATATTATAAATTATGCGGTGTCACCGTCAACGAACAAAAAATATTTATTTGATGAATAATAATTACTTGTCTTTATATAATATTTTCAGATTTATTTTGCGCCAATCCATGTAAGTGTAGTCCTAATTCTCAGACTCTTTTTTTTTAATTCAAAGACAGTTTTAATTCTCAGACTCATTTTCTTTAACAAAGAATCCATTTTATCATCTATACCTCTTTGCATGCATAGTGTCATATATATATATATATATTTAAAAATAAATGCCTAATTTAGTCAAATACAAAATCCATATAATCAATGATTAAATGTGCATTGTTTAATGATTTGTTGATTGGTTTGAAATTTGAATCATCAATATAAATAATAACTATTTCCCAGTATATATAATTCAGAACAAACTAGTTATTCAATAACAAGAGTTATACATCACTCTTCAATTTTTTTATAAGACACAGAAAATACATATTTAGTTTTATTGGGAAGCTAAAGGTAGAGATTAAACTGTATGTAGAAAAATAAATACATAATCCATTCTAAGAAGGGAGAAAGACATATAAGAACCGTTGAAACATGAGAATCCCAAAATAGTCCTACAAAATGACTTAATTCCCATAAAGTTCTTGGAATAAAATTCTTGGAATCATTTTAGAGAAAAGATTTTTGTGAAATGACCTAATCGTCTTTAGGAAAGCCAGTTGGTATTGCTTTAGGCATCGTTTGGATTTATTTATTTAAGTACTTATAAATATATTTTATGTAAATCAAGACAAAATTCTCTTAACAACTAACGATTGAAAAGCTGCTTGAAATTTAATAAGTGAAAATTGTTATTTGTTAAACTGTTATTTTCATAGAAATTTTTATCAAATTAATTGTGTTTACCTTAGTATCCGTTGTCCTTGACCATTTCATTTTTTTTAAAGATTTTAAATTACAAATATTTGGGTAATTTCCTTATAAAATTTAACGTCAAGCTAATCCCTGAAAAATTCACAATAATTAGAGTATTGGGAAGATCCTGAATTAAGGATTCCATACTTAAAGATATTTTTGTATGTTTGTTCCTTCTTAATTTGGATGCCATGTGATGAAGAGATACATACCCACGAGGCCATGACATTGCCATCACCCCCTCCTCATTGAAAGGGACTTCCTCTCAGCTTTTTTCCTCTCTTTCTTTCTCTTTGGATTTTCCTTTTCCTGTGTCTGTGTGTGTCTGTGTGTTTGTCCGTCACTGTGTCTGTGTGGTTTGATTAAATGAATGAAAGAAAAGGAACAACAAACATGCGTGTAGGGATTGTCATGCTCCAAACAAACCTTTTGAGATTTACTGGACAGTGGAGACGGCATCTTCACTCCTTCCCTTTTTTCCTCTTTTTCTTTTTTGCCCCAACGTCCTCCTTCTCTGCTCCCTTTTATCGTTGTCCTTTTTCCTTTCCATCCCCTCTTTTTACTATTTTGCCCTTCCTTTCTTTAATTTTCATCCACTCTTTTTTTTTCTCCTAATAAAAAGATGGATACAGTGATGGTCCTCGAGTTTGTGAAATTGTACTAAAACTCAAGGCATTGCTTTATCAAAATATTTGTATTTTCAAAAATAAATAATTAGTTTTTCAGAAGGTGACACAAAAATGACACTTGAACTAAGAAATGCCAAAATTATCACTTGAATTTGGGAAATTCCAATTTAGTTACAAGCGACCAATTTAACATTTATAAATTTGTTAAAATAACAATATTGCTTTCATTTTATTTATTGTTTTTTAAAAAACTAAGCCCCCATTGGCCGGCCGGTCGCCACAGCTCCGGCGATGGCTGTCACCAGAGTTCCGGCGACCGAAAACAATTTTTTAAAAAATTTTACAACTTCAATATAACGGTCAACAACTTTTATAACGCTATTAACAATTTCAGTATAACAGTTAATAATAGGTTTTTTAGAAAATTCAAAAAGTAGTATTTTTATAACTTCAGTAATGCCATTAACAAGTTTCATAACTCTATTAACAGTTTTGGTATAGCATTTAATAGCATGTTTTCTTAAAAATTAAAAAAATGGTATTTTTACAACTTTAGTAACTTTTTTTTAAATTTTTACAACTTTAATATAACGGTTAACAACTTTTGTAATGCTATTAACAATTTTAATATAGCAATTAACAGCAGGTTTTTAAAAAAATTTAAAAAGTAGTATTTTTACAATTTCAGTAATGTTGTTAACAAATTATGTAACTCTATTAACAACTTTAGTATAGCATTTAATAACAGGTCTTCTTAAAAATTCAAAAAAGTAGCTTTTTTACAACCTTAGCAACTACTTTTTTTAAAAAAATTTTACAATTTCAGTAAAATAGTTAACAAGTTTCATAACGCTATTAACAACTTTAATATAGCAATTAGCAATAGGTTTTTCAAAAAATTTAAAAAGTAACATTTTTACAATTTCAGTAATGCCATCAACAAAAGTAGCATTTTTATAATTTCAGTAATGCCATTAACAAATTCAAAAACCTGTTGTTAACCGTTATACAAAAGTTATTAATAGCGTTACAAAAATTATTAACCGTTATACTGAAGTTGTAAAATTTTTTTAAAAAAAGTAGTTGCTAAAGTTGTAAAAATGCCTTTTTTTTAATTTTTAAAAAAACTTGTTGTTAAATGCTATATTGAAGTTATTAATAGAATTACGAAACTTGTTAATGGTATTACTGAAGTTGTAAAAATGCTACTTTTGAATTTTCTAGAAAACTTGTTAATTACGTACTATACTGAAGTTGTTGATAACGTTACAAAAGAGTTTAACTGTTACATTGAAGTTGTAAAAATTTTTAAAAAAATTATTTCTGACTGCTGGAGCTTCGGCGACTGGCCGGTTAGTGGAGGTTTTGGTTTTTTAAAAAATAATAAATAAAATGAAAGGTGATATGGTTATTTTAGCAAATTTATAAATGTCAAATTGGTCACTTGTGACTAAATTGGGATTTTGCAAATTCAAGTAA